TAGACAAGCTGAAATAATTTTGACAAAGAAGAATGCAGTGGGAGGAATAAGTCTACCTAGTTTCAAAGCAGTATAATATTGTCAGACAGAAATGCACAAAGATAACCCCAAAATAAGTCCACACAAATATGCCCAATTGACAAAGGAGCAAAATCAATTCAATGGAGGCAGAACAGCTTTTACATCCAATCATACTGCAGCAACTGGACATTCCTTGGCTATACTAACATAAAACAAAATGAAACTTGACCTATAATCTCACATCTGACCCCAAAATTAATTCTAAATGGAACATGGAGTTAAATGTAAAATGCAAAACTATGTAACTTTTAGAAAAAATGGGAGGACATTTCTGAGAGTTGGGACTATAAAATGTTCTTATACTTGACACCAAAATCATGATCCATAACAAGAAAAAAATTGATAAAGTGGACCTAATCAAAATTATAAAAGACCCTAGTAAGATGAAAAGACAGATTACAGGTCAGGAGGGACTATAGTAGTATTCCTGTAAGTTGACTACACAGTGGACTGTAATGAACTGGTCAACCTATGGAGGCAGTCAACGTAAGGAAGTAGGTCTACTGTACACTGAATACATGTGGTGCACGTCAAGTCTATGAAAATGAGGTCAAGTTAAGGAGATGGCCAGTGTAGGGAGGTGGTCAGCTATGTAGATTCTACTGTATTTGCAAATCACATATCCAACAAAGAATTTCTATCTAGAGACTCCTGTGTATAGAACACTTAAGATACAACATTAACCCCTCCATAATAACAATCAAAGATATGCAAAAGATATTCATGGACATTTCACCAAAAAGAATATACAGAAACTTAGACACAAATGTACATAGAAGCTTTATTTCTTAATAATCAAAGCTTGGAAATTGCCCAAAGGTCCCTGAGTGGGTAAATGGCCAAACTATCGTACATCCATATCATGGAACACCATGGGGTAAAAAGCAACTAATGCATGCAAAAACTGGAATGAATCTCAAGGAAAAAAAATCTCTGAATGAAGCAAGCCAGTCTCAAAAGGATACGGACTGCAGGATGCAATCTATACGATTTGTGTAACAACGTAATTATAGAGATGGAGAACAAATTGGTGGTTGCTAGAGGTTAGAGCCAGAAGTGGAGAGGGAGATTGGAGCCATAAGAGGGTAACACAAGGGAGTCTTGTGATGATGGTATAGTAAGTATATTGAGCGTGGCTGTGGTTAGACATAGCTATACATCAGACAACACTGCATTCCAGGAAACCCTCAATTCCTGGCAAAGCAGACAGTTGGTCACCGTAGTAGATGGTCCCCTATCAGGAGCCATGATGCAGCCCTGTGCCTCTGAGAAGTTTGGGCTTCACCTGGTGGAAAATCCAGATCCTCTGGCTGCTTAAGAAGAAAAGCTTATAGGGGACAAGAAGCTAGAGGTACTGTACCACTGGGGCAAGAAAGAAAGGTGGCCTGATGTGGTCAATGGGCCAATGTTCACCAAACTCTTGCTTTTCCTCCATATGTAGCACATGGCTAGACTACAGTTCCCAGAAACACTCACAGGAAGTGGGGGCATGTGACCAAATTTTGGCCAATGGGACATGAGGAGACATACTGTGTACTTCCCATAAGCCCCACCCCTTCTCGAGAACTTTAAACCACCCAGGGCAGAACAGAAGCTGGAAAGATCCTGTATCCTTGCTATATGTGGAGGATTTTTCCTGATTTTCTGATCAGGAACACATGCTTAGTATGTTTCAGCCATTATGACCTGTCTTCATCTATTTATAACAGCATTTCCTTAAGTGACACCCTGGGGTGCACAGCTCCTGGGCATACCATCAGCATCGCTAGCCTTGATGTCCTCCCTTGGGCATTTGTATTGGGGCGAGAGGAGCTGGATGGCAGACTGAGATGCCCACACAGCCCCCTACAGTTACAATGAACCCAAGACCCTCTGAGCATCTCAGGGTGGGGAGGGGCCTTCTGTACCTTAGTGAGAGTGGAAATGTGGGTACTTAAGAGAAGAGTCATATCTTGATGTGCTTACATTACTAGAAATAATGATTTAATAAGCTTAAAACCAATATTCAATTGTTTATTATCAGTAGGTTAGGAATTGAATTAAGAAAATAATTACAGGCGGTGCCCATGGCTCAGTGGGTAGGGCTCCAGCCATATACACCAAGGCTGGCAGGTTCAAGCCCAGCCCGGACCAGCCAAAGCAACAATAACAAGTGCAACAAAAACAACAACAACAAATAGCCGGGCATTGTAGCAGGCACCTGTAGTCCCAGCTACCTGGGAGGCTGAGGCAAGAGAATCACATAAGCTCAGGAGTTTGAGGTTGCTGTGGGCTGTGACGCCACCGCACTCTACCCAGGGTGAGAGCTTGAGACTCTGTCTCAAAAAAAAAAAAAAAAAAGCAAGTAAGAAAGAAAAGAAAAGAATTACAGATAATGGACAAAAGGGAACAGAGACAGGAGAGAAACAGATCAGAGAAACCCAAAATCTGGTGCAAACATTCAGCCTGGAAGCCTTAGAACCCTAGAAATATCAGATTCTGGAAGGACTGAGAGGGCTGTCACAGAACCCAAAATCCCATCTGTGTCATTGAACAACTAGGGACACTGAGCACATGGGAATAGGAAGTATGCGAGGTCCCACATGATCAAGGGATGAGTGAATGAACACTCATTCTTTCTTTCTTTCTTGTATTCATTCACAAATATTTTAATCACTTAATGTGTCAGGGTTACAACAGAGAATTCACAAGTAGCAAGTTACAAATATGAACAAGCTGGTGGTGCTTGGTACCACGGAGGGCAAAGCAGGACATGTGGATAAAGGGAATGGTGTCTGTCTTATCTGGAGGGGGCAGAGAGGACCTGTCTAAGGAGGCCACACAGAGCTGAAGCAGGCCTGAGGATACACAGGGAAGGATCTTCCAGGCAAAGGGAACAGCACAACGCTCCGCAGAAGACACGTAACAGCAGTTTGAGAAACAAGAGGTGGCCTGGGTAGCTGGAGCAGAGGAAGTGGAGAGTGGAGGAGAAGAAGAGGTGAAAGGCCGCGTTCTGCAGACTGGCGTAGCTATCAGTAGCCCTGGCCTCTGCATGACCCATAATGCACATTGCTCCTCTCCTGCCCTGCTCATATGGAAGCTGCCCCCTTGAGACTTTGGAGACTCCAGGGGATGGACTACCCACATTCCTAAGGCTTGATTTTCTGGTGCCACCTCATTTCTTTCTTTCTTATTACATCCACCTCATTTCTTAAAGTACTGACATGTGATGGACATTGGACGTCTGTCTCAGCTTTGTCCTTGACTTGCTGGACTACCTAATCTAGGCACCCCTCCCTAGTCCTGATGCTTCAATGGCCCCACCTGTGAAATGGCACTGTTTGGATGGGCTGGCTCTGACGTTCCACTGAGATCCCCAAGGTTTTCTCTGCCCATGTTCATAGAGCTCCTCAGAAAGAACAGTCAGGCCAGGACTTCAGCTGCCACACTGTCTGTGTCTGGTTCCTGCCCTTGATGTGCCTTCGGGTGACCCTCATTGCACTGGGAAAAGGAGCTGGAGGAGACATCAGCATTTACCTTCCATTTCTTTTGGATCAAGCCAAACACATAAGAAAAAGGAAGGAGAATTGTTCAGTAAGAGCGTACCAAGGGTGATTTCTCTGGGACTCTAAGGCTCCTTTCCTTCTGACGAGACTGTGCCTGAATAGCAGCTAAGAGAGCAGATCGCTGACCTGCTGTGTGGCCTTAGGCAAGTCACATAGCCTCTCTGATCTTCCACTTTCTCCCTTGAAAAGTGGGGTTAATCAGAATGGAAACACTGAGTTGCCAGTTATATCGTGTGTGAAGTTCTTAACAATGCTGAGCACACATGCCATCCTCATCAACGCCATTATCATTACTTTTTTAGGTGGAAAGGGCGACAGGAGGTGGCAGTGGGCTTTTGGATGCAGGAAGGATTTGGCTCTGAAAGAGTTAAAATCGAGCCATCTGCTCCCAGTCTGGTGATAAGGTTGGAGGAAACACAGTCCAGGTCCCTAGCCCTGTCACATGCGAATTTATGAGGTGCTGGTCACTTTGAGTCAAAGAGTAGCTCCCCCCAGGCTGCACAGGAAGCATTCGGAGTTGTCAAGACACTCTGGAAAGAAAGAGACAGAGCTGAGAGAAAAAGTGAGAGCCAGGCAGCTGGGAGCCCCCTCATCACCCGACTCTGCAGGAGAAGAGAAAGGGAAAAACGGGCGAAGATAGAGAAAAGGAAGAATCAGAGGGTGAGCCGGGTGGACGGAGACAGTGCGGCAGAGAGCGAGCGAGAAGGATAGCTCCAGCAAAGTGATAAAGGAACAGTCGGGACAGGAGTCAAGAGTCCAGAGCAGGGAGGCACGCAGAAGCACCGAGGAAAGCAAGAAGGAAGGAGTGGTCCTCTAGGGCCAGGAGGAAGAAACAGAGAAAGGGAGGTGTGGGGAGAGAAGAAAAAAAAAAAAAAAACAGGCGGCGAGTGGGCGCAGGACACAGGGAAGGGTCTCTGGGTGTCCACACGCCTGCACCTGAGTGTGCATCTGTGCGCGCGTGTGCGTTCCTCGGGCTGCCGGGCCGGGGTGGGTCTGTGCACGTGCGTAGGCCGGTGGAGGGGGCGGGAACGTCGCGAGGCTGCAGGCTGCCAGGCAGACTGACCTCTGGGACCCCAGCCCCGGCGACCCCCGCATGAGCCCAGTCCCCGAGGGGGTTAACGCGCCGCCCCCGACGCGCCGGCTCCTCCCCGCCAGGGCAGTGCCCAGCCTTCGCCAACGCCCTCACTCGACCTGGCGGTGGGCCCCTGGGCGGACGGCGGGTTCCTGGCGGCCGGACGAACCCGCGCCCAGCGGATGCGCCCGCCGCGCCCCGAGCAGCCCTCGCGCCCGCCGCGCTGCCGCCGGGCCGTCGGGCCGCCCGGGGAGCCCCAGCATCGCCGCCGGGGTGCCAGGAGCCCTGCGCGCCCTCCCAGACCAGACTGTCCAGATGCGGGCGCCACTCTGCCTGCTGCTGCTCGTCGCCCACACCGTGGACATGCTCGCCCTGAACCGAAGGAAAAAGCAAGGTACGTGGGGAAGTTGGGCAGGGTGGCCAGGCAGGCGCTGCGGGCAGACCGGGGATGGCCCCTGGGGCGTCTTCCGGGTACCTGGCGCGCGGAGCCGCTAGCTCCTCCAGATAAGCTGGCATCAGTCCCGCTTTACAGATGGGGAGACCGAGGCTCCGGGGCACCCAGCGAGAGAACCGTTGAGCTAGCTGGACCAAGGAGGCTTTCCGCGGAGGGCAGGGACTAGCAGGGATCTTCCGAAGTCCCTGTCCCATTACTGCCTCTGACTCAGGTGTCACCTTCCAGACGACAGTGGTACTGGATGGGGCCTCCTCTGGTGAGCTCAGGCAGTCTTTAGATCTGAGTTCAAGTTCACTTATTGTGGGGATGACTTGGAAAGAACTCCAACCCCTCAGAGAGCTTCAGTTTTTCCTTGACCTCATAAGGCCAAGGGAAGGTGAACTAAGTTTCAGGTTATAAAGGCACCACATGCACCCTCATATCAGGGGCCTTCATGCAAGAGTCAGAATGTCCTCAGGAGGTGAGTTTGAGTCTATCTCCATAGAGCCAGTGAGGCCGAGGAGGGCAAGCTGGTGGTCAAAGTCTCCTCCTTTGGCCTCTGGGTGCCAATCTGTGAATACTTGCTACTGTGCCAAGGGGTTTCCACACACTGTCTTGTTGAATCCCCACTGTGTCCTCATGACATAGAGGCATCCCATTTATTAAAGCCCGGGGGGGTGGGGGGTGGTCCAAGGCTCAAACAGGTTAAGTCACTTTGCTAAACTCTCCAGCAGGTGAATAGAAGACATAGTGTCTTCTCTTTTTCTAGCTCTGATGTTGGGTCTGAGCAGGGCTTGCCCTCTGGGGGGGTTTAGCCCATTTATGTGAAAAGCCCTGTGTGGACACAGTAGCTCCTGGAGGGACCAGGATGAAGAGAGAGGCTGTGGGAGGTGGGATTGAATGGGATAGGGGAGATGTGGCGGCAAGGGCCCTGATCCCGGCTGTAACGGAGGGACCAAAGGAGTGGAGAGGTGAGTGGGCTTTTGCTGAGCTGGGGCCAGTTTGGGACTCCATGGGAGCGCTCCTCAGTGAGTAGCCTTTGTTTAGTGGTTAAAGGCATGGCCTCTGAAACCAGCCCACTTGAGTTCAAATCCCAGGTTCCCCATCCACCATTTCAGGGAAGTTACTTTGCCTCTCCAATCCTCAGTTTACCCATCTGAGAGTCTTTTAGAAGATCTCTAAAATCCTTCTCAGTTCTAAGAAGACTCCCTCCCCAAAACCACCTTTCTTCACATTGATTCATCTTTCCAATGGGAATATCCAAGTCATAAGGAAGATTATAGGCGAGACTGAATGAGCCAGTGTGTATGGTCAATGAGCAGCTGAGTGCACAGGCTCCTAGCGGGCGCTTATAAGCATTCATCATTCTCACATCCTGTCCACTATCCTTAGCTGCTCACTGTAGCCTAGTGGAGGAAGTGGGAGAGATGCTTATTTTCTAGATGAGGAAACAGGTAGAAAGGCGCACTGATTGTCCAGGGTTGCACAGCAGGTAAGGGAAAAACTAGGTTTGAATCTTAATCCGTCCCCACACAATGGTGAGATCTCTCTTGATCTGTATTGGTCTTCCTTCTCAAAGCCTGTTTCTCCATCTGAAGAAGAGCTAGTTTGGAAGATCTTTAAAATGTTTCTCAGTTCTAAAAACAAGGGGGGGGGGAATAAAGAAAACTGAAAAATTCTAACTCCTCCCCCCATCCGCAGCACGGCACACTGCCCGCCCCCAACTCGCAGGAGCTTGGTGCAGAGGTGAGGAGACGGCTGCTCCTTACACTGCCCCAGTTTGGTGAGGGGCTCTCAGCATCCTTGCCCCCGGTAGCTGATCTCTTGTCTCTGGGACCCACACCTGCCCAGCATCTTCAGAAGCTCGGGGCTCCGTTTATTAGTGGGATACAGTGAAGATAGACTTGGATTTCAGTCCTATTCCTGACTGAGTTGTGCTGTGTGGCCTTGGGGTGGCCTCAGGTGAGCAGATTGTCTTCCTTTCCCCAGCCACAGCCACAGTTTCCCCATTGGCACTGGGGTGGGAGGCAGGGACTAGACAAATCCTTCCTACAGCATATTTTGCAGGGCAGCCATAGGCGTCCTGGCTACATAGATTGGGAAATGCTGGGGTTTGCAGATTTTTTGACTTCTCAGAGCATGATGTAGGACGTGGAGACAGAGAAGAAAGCCTTTCCCACATGTATTGCCCATTGGACATCATTTCCTCTATGGCATCTGCTTGGAAAACACTGCATGCAATCCTCAGGGTCCTACTATCTTAGACTTTCTCATCTAACTTTGACAGAAGAATGCACCCTGAAGACACCTGGGTATTGTCGGTGCTTCATTCATTCATTCACTTGTTCATATAACAACTGTCACAGGGCAGCCTATGTGCCAGGCTCTGTGTTCAGGACCTTGGGGATACCAAGGTGATCAGACCTGGGCCTGTCCCTTGAAGAGCTGCTGGTGTGGAGGGAAGACCCTTCTCTGCCCTTCCCCAGCTCTTTCCACGCCTAAGACTTTGGCCTCAGCCTTCAGTCTCGTCTGCGAGGTCAGGAGGAACAATTTCCCGGGCCCAGCAGCTGCCCAGTCTGAGCCGTCACCCTTGGGGCCTGGCTCCCACAGAACCATGTTTCCTGAGGCTCTAGCGTCACTGTTTTTTGATGAAACCCAATTTTTCTGTTTCTGAGAAAGAAGGAAAGAAAAGGCTTGAGAAAGTTTCTTGGATCTCAAGTGTCTCTTACAAAACAGCATTTTGATTAATTGAGTATAAATGAATCAGAACCAGATGGGGGCATTTCTTTTGAAACATGCTGGGGTGTCCTGGTAATGGGACAGACAGGCAGAAGAGGGGGCTCTGCTTTGCATCCCCCACCCCTGGATCTGGAGCTGCATTTAGGCAATGACTTTTCCTGATATTCAAAGGGGTTGGGGGCTCCCCTCAGTCACATGGAACTTCTAGATCCTTCTAGACCCAAAGCAGCAAGGGGCAGAGCAAGGAGCTCTGGAATTCAGGTAGTCCCAGATTCAACCCCTGAGCCCTCTTCTGTCCCAGATATGTGACCTTGGGTAGGCCATGTGCCTTCTCTGACTCGTGGTTTCCACGTGTGTGACATGGGAACAGTTGTACCTGCCTCTGTCGGAAGCTGGAAAGATTTACCATAGTTCTAGAGGGAAGGTGCCCAGAGTTACACAGTGTAGGGTCTTCATAAGGACTCATCCCCTTTCCCTTCCCATTTTACATCAGAGTGGGAAGTGCTCTGGACTTGGGGGAGGGAGTCTCACGTGGGGTGAATCTCACCTCTGCCTCATGCTTGCTGCGCATCCCAAGCAAAACTTCTGCCCTCTCTGAAGGCCGAATTGCCTATTTTATTGCCTTGCTTTATTGTAAAATGACTGCGGCAGTGCCCATGCCAGATGTTATGTTATATGGATTGAATGTAATGCTTCTATGTAGATTGTAAAGCCTGTCCCCAGTACACAGACAGAGATGCTGAGACCTGGGCAAGCAGGGACAGAGACAGATAAGGACCATGAATGCTGGCATCCAGGTGAAGCCAGGCTCAGATGACAGGACAGTTCTGAAAGGGAGAACAGATTCCTGCAGAGTAGAGTAAGGGTGATAATTGGGCACTGGGGGCTGAGGGCTAGTGCTATGTCTCAGTAGAAGGCCATCTTGGGCTTCTTGGCCAGGGTTCCTTCATCTTATGGGAGCTGATTGAGACACTGAAGGCAGAATACTTGACACACAGTAGGTGGTCATTCAACCAAGCTCCACGTGCCCTGTCTCAGCAGTTCTGAAGCCATGGTGGCTGCAAAGATGTTACTTTCAACTCACGCTGCCCCATTTCCCTCTCCCATGGATGGAAACCATCCACCCTGCTGCTCAGCCACTGGAGGGACCCTGGAGGCCACTGGGGGAAGCCTGGCCCCTTGCTGGGAGCTCTGCATGTGGGGCTGTGAGTCCTCACTCTGCCACTGCCGTGTGTTATACCCATTTTCCCAGACAAGAGAACTGAGGCTCAGAAAGGATCAATGGCCTGTGTTGAAACTCGCAGCACCTGAGCTACAATGTGGATTCAGAGTTTTGGAGGCTTGAAAGCCTGTGCATAGAAATAGAAATGAGTCCTGCCAGGATTTGCTGAGGGCTACAGGGTGGAGGCATTTGAGAGGAGCCTCATCTGAGGGGTAGGAGTTAGGATTTTATCAGGCAAAGGTGGCAATAGGTTGGGGACTCCTGCAAGAGAGGGGAGTCTTGCCAGGTGGGAGCCTGAAGGACCATGGAGCTAGGGGAAGTGAAGGTCTGATTGCATCATAGACAGGGCCAGAGTGCAGTCATGGAGGGCCTTGGGTACCAATCAGCTGTTATGAAGAAATATTTATTGAGTCCTTCCTTGGGGGCCAGGCCTGGGCTAGGTGTTGAGATAAGTGCTCCACCATCCCTGCCGTCTGAGGGTCCAGTGTCTCCTTGAAATTCATCAGCGAGAACATCATGGACAGGACCCCTGAGGTTGCTCCTCAACACAGCCTTGAGAGGCAGGCCAGGGCTGGCCCCCACCTCCCCTGCGGAACTGGACATTCAGCGAGGGGATGTTGCTTGCCTAAGGTGTCACACGGCTAAGGTTTATCCATCCATCCTTCCATCTAGGGAAAAACGCCTGAAGCTCACAGGAACCTGAAGTTTTGCCAACTATGGTTTGAAGTCCATTGGCAGATCAGGGCAACGCATTTAGTAAATTGTAGCCAGCATTTTTGAATGAAATGGAAAGGAACAGAAAAAAATTGAATAAAATAGGGTCACACCAGCAAACTTTTTTTGTAAAGGGCCAGACACTAAATATTTTAGGCTTTGTGGGCCACAGATGATGTGCCACATATTCCACTATTCTTAGCTCGCAAGCCACACAGAAATAGCCAGATTTGGTCCATAGGCTTCAGTTTGCCTCCTTTTTAGAAGGTATCAGAGTGCATTGCGA